CTTATGAATATTGCCTTTCAGCTTCCACGTTTTGATTTTCCGAGGCATTTGTTTAGACTTATGTTTTGACAGTTTGACAACCAGGTCTGCCACAATGAGTCTATGTTGGGCGACACATGATTCGCCAGGTATAACTTTGATATTTTTGAATAGCCTTCGGTGTTGTTGCTTGACAGCGAAGAATTCAATTTGCGTGGCAGATGGTCCACTTTTGTATGTTATTATTATTATTATTCGAAAATTTGTATTGCGCTAATTACAAACAAAATGTTTCTCAAAAGCACTGTCTAAAAAAAAACAGTTGAATTGCAACGATAAACCAAATCTTATAATGAAAAAAAAATGATTTCAATAATTTCTTGAACAATTTTTCTGTCAGTTCGGGCTGTCTTAGATAACTTGGTAGACTATTCCAAACGGCTGGTCCACATACTGAAAAACTTCTCTCAGCCATTTTCAAGTTGGTTTGGAGCACACATAACAAGTTGCTATCATCAGACCTTAAGCAGACAGTTTTAAAAGACAGTTGTTTCGGTGCATGCGTTTCTTTCAAATAAACTGGCGCTATTCCCTTCATACATTTGAACATGATTGTTGTTATTTTTAACAAAATTCTTTTTTGATCATCAACCTGTGCAGTTTTCTGAATATCGGGGTAACATGGTCAAACTTTTTTGCACCAACCACGATCTTAGCTGCACGATTCTGAATTGACTGAAGCACAGATAACGATTTTTCAGGCAAACCATAAATTAGGCTGTTACAGTAATCCAGTTTAGAATGAATAAACGAATGCACTAAATTTTGAATAACATCTTTGGTTAAGCTTTTGCGGATTATTTTTAATTTTCGCAGTTGTAGGGTTGCAGTACCAGATAAAAACTTGATATGTTCAGTCATTGCCAGTCTAGAATCAAAAATGACACCCAAGTTTGTAGCTCTGGGAATGAAGTTTATATTTGAGCCTTCAATGAATACTGAATTAATTTTAATTCTAGACAGCTGTTGCCAAGTTCCAACCAGAAGAATTTGCGTCTTACTTTGATTGAGCTTAAGACGATTATTTGCCATCCATTTCTCGATCTCGACCAAACATTTAACAAAACGATCAACTGCAAGATGGAAGTTGCTATAGGATTCTGTGGCGAAAAGCTGAATATCATCTGCAAATGCATGACACTCCAAACCATGTAATCCGATCGCCTCAATAATTTCAGAGGTGTAAAGAATAAACAAGATCGGTCCGAGAACCGAGCCCTGTGGAACACCAAATCTTATCGTTTGAACCGAAGAGGTCTTATTCTTGTAGATTACCTGCTGAGTTCTGTTTGTTTAGTACGACCGAAACCATTGTTCGACAGTGCCAGTTATTCCAAATCTATGATTAAGACGTTCCAGAAGAATGCAATGGTCGACACAGTTAAATGCCGAACTCATATCTAAGAATCCAAGAAGAGATGGTTTACTGTTGTTTATATTTTCATGCAACTTAGATAAAAGCAGTTTCTGTAGAATGATGTTTTCTATAACCAGAGTGATATACCGGTAACAAATTGTTTTTATTTAAAGGTTTCATAAGCTCCTTAGAAACTAATCTTTCAATTAATTTTGACAAGAACGACAGATTTGAAACCGGTCTATAATTATTAAGATCAGAATTGTCTAATTTTTCCTTTTTTAAAAGAGGAGAAATTGTTGCATGCTTTAACATAGCCGGAAACCCACCAGTACGTAAACATAAGTTTATAAAATCAGTCAAATATTTTGAAAACAATCCTACATATTTTTTGAAAATGTGTGAAGGAACACAATCCAGTGAACATGTTTTAGATGGAGGGTTCAAAACTGCTTCAACAATTTCGCTTTTGTCATAAACAGGAAAAACTGAAAACAAGTTGCTGCAGCAGACGCCAAGTGAATGATTAAACTTCTCATCATACACCATCGATTCTCATACATTATTAATTTTGTCATAAAAGAATGTAGCAAAATCGTTCGGTTCAAAATTGGTAGATGAATTTGAAGTTTTTTCTTTGCACAACAGTTTATTTACCACAGTCCAAATTTTTTTAGGATTTTTGTTATTTTCAAAAATGATTTTTTTTCAAAACATTTTTTTTCTGGGCGAATAAAATATTTTTTGATCGTAGAGCATTTTTCCACACCTCCCTATCATGATGATTTAAAGTCTTTCTGTACTTTCTTTCCATTTTTCTACAGTATGCCTTGGACTTTGAACAATCTCCATCAAACCACGGCGTCAACGAATCATCTCGACTTTCAACCACGTGTTCTGGAGCTATTATGTCTGCAATTCTCCTCAATTCATTCACAAAAATCTCTAACAGCGTTTCGGGGATTTCGAAATTAACAATGCGAGATTTTCTTCATTTATGCGTCGCCAGGATCGAACCATTTTTTTACTTCTCGTACCTATAACTTGATTGATTGACAAACAAACCTGGATTAATCCATGATCTGATAACACTCCACTGGGAAAAATCAAACTATTAAAGATAGGAAAAGAGCGAGAAGTAACGATCAAGTCCAAAACACCACCTAATTCATGCGTTGGTTCGTTAATTCTGTTAACCAACTAAAAACAGTCAAAAACATCATTCAATGAGACTGTGTTTGGATCATCTTTTCTCTCCATATGAACATTAAAATCTCCCGCAACAACGATTTTATCACTTAACAGCGATAAAACTTCTAAAACATTCACTAGCTCTGAAAAGAACGATGGTGAAGGAGGAACCGATCCAGGTCTATAAATTGATAACAAAATAAAATCAGATTTGTTTATTCTCAATTTAATTGCAACAGCTTCAAAAGTTATCACGGCGGGCAACTCAACAGGTTTATAAATGAAAAATTACAATTTCTTAATTTTCTTGAAATAAATTTTAATTCCGCCATGATATGGATCGTGAGATCTAACGTAATCTACAAACTTATAACCAAGGGGCATCGCACATCGAACAGCAAACTCATCTGACGACCCATGCCATGTTTCAGTTAATACAAGAATATCCAATTCTCCACGAACTATATCACACACCTTTTCCTATTTTGACATTATAGATCTTATGTTGAGGAGCCCCAGGCCAATTTTTAAATCATTGTAATTTTTCATGGTTAATTTTTGAGCTGTAGCATGAATCATCCTCCGACTGGTCCTCCCATCAACAACACCCTCATCAGTTAATTTCTGAACTTCACAATCCGCCATCTTCCCACAGAACCTCTGACTCTTTGCATGCCGCTTCTTTCGATTTTGCATCAGCTACCAGTTTTTTAATTCACTTCTTTGCTCAGGTGTCAGGTCATTGCTAATCCAGACTTTACTCAGATCAACCGACATTAATTTCAATTTGTGTGCATTTCTCATCACAGTCTCTTTAGACATCAAACTATCCAACACTATCAATATTGGACGCATGGATGATTCTTTTTTTTTTCCAAGTCTTGTAACATATTTTATATGGGTATCTTTTATATCATCTGACAATTCTAACAAAATATTTTTAACACGAATTTTATCATCTTCACCTTCTTGTAAATTGAAAATTATTATATTTCTTTCTCTGTCTTTTATATCGATTGACTCAGTTAATTTTCTTTTAACCGTTTTAACTTCCAGATTGACACACTCAATGTTTTTTTTCATTTCTTGGCCAACAACAGTAGCAAAAGAAGATTTCAAACCACTTTTGAATGTGCTGATCTCGGCAGATAACTTGCTATCAGGCCTATCGAGGCTATCTAATTTTGCACTGTTACTGTTCAACATATCTTTCATCAATTTAAGTTCCTTTTTTAGCAAACCGTTCATTTCATTAATTTTTTCGACTTTTAAGTTGATTTCATCATTGTTGTCACTGACTATTTTAGAGAGAGTTTTAACGTTGCATAACTTCTTCAGACAAATATCACAAAACCATTTAAAACTATCGAAACTACGTGTCACTTCAAAAGCTTCATCACTCAAACCAACACATTTTATGTGAAAACTATTTTCACACTGAAAACATTGAATGCATTGCAAATTTTCTTTACCTGATTTCACACATTTTGTTTTCGTACATTTTGAAACCATATTAATTTGATTGTTGTGTTTGTTCGTTGTCGGGGTGAGTTCCGAAACGAAAAAAAAACAGCAAAAACAGCACTAAATTAAACTTTTAAACGGAGAAAATATATATATATATAAATATTCGTCAAAATTTTCTCTATCAAATGAAATTAAATTTAAACTAAATACTCGATTTTAAACTATGAAATTAAGAAAAAATACCGAGCAAATCAAAATGCGGCCTGCACGTGCTACCGATGAGCGATATAATGTTATGAGATGTTCCAACCTTTTTTAAAATATGTGTTCAGTAAACAAAACCCGTGACTTTCAGCAAACTCAAGGATGCGGTTGCCATCTTCATTTCGTTCACCATAGCCAAAACCGCCATGCACGTTGTCAAAACCATCTGTTTTTTTTCCAACGTGGCCATTGAGATCGCATCCAATCAGGATTGTTTCAGATTTTGGTATTGTTGAGATGGTGTCAGAAAACACAGCCCAGAAGTCTATTTTTATCTCTTCTGATTCGCCTGTCTGTGGTACGTATGCAAAAAAATAGCCATTGTTTGCTTTTCTAGGCGAATCTTGATCCACATGTTGAAAGTAGTGTTGAATTTTTGAAATATATATATGTATATATATATATATTTTATATATATATATATATGGCGAGAATTTCCGACCTGCTTTTGTATAAAGTACACCATCTCTCACCATGACAAAAAATGCATGACTTTGAACACCTAACAGACAATGTGTGTGTGTGTGTGTGTGCGTGTGCGTGCGTGCGTGTGTGTGTGTGTGTGTGTGTGTGTGTGTGTGTGTGTGTGTGTGTGTGTGTGTGTGTTTTACATAAAAATGTTTTCGACATAACATGATTGAAGAAAGAAAGACAAATATAAACTCATCAAATTTTTTTATAGTTTTTATCGTCTTGCTTGGCTGGCATTACTTTATTAGAGCAAGATCTTCAAGAAGAATTTGAAGAAGAAATAGAGAAGGATTCTCAGCCAGCAGCTCCTATAAGTGACCAATCCTATCGAATTATCGGATCTTTAAAAGATTCACAGAAGTCTAAACCTCATTTTGTTCAATCTATTGTTCAGGTTAGTATAAAATCCTGTTAGCGTGTTTTTAAAATTTAAAATGACAATTTAAAATGTCTTCGTTAACAATTATTCTCTTTTTCATCTGCGTTTTTATTATTTTTATGACTTGCCTATATGGTAAATAATGGACTAACAACACGAAAATATTTAAAAAAATTTTAATTATAGAATGAAAACGAGTTTTATACCCAAGTATTCTCGTGTTCATCAATTAATTCATTTTCTATCACATACATTTTATAAATCCATAATGAAATTAGAATAGGAATGCATTAGAGTTGTTTCAAACGTTATCAGAATGTGATATTATCATTTATGACATTGTTTCTGACTCGTCTCAAAATGCAGAAGCTTTTCAAATGGCCACTAGTTAGCTTTACTTTAATTCATATTAATTATAAAATTGCGGTTTATGTTCAAATGATACTTTACAGAGTTTGCTGAAAATTGGTTGAAAATGGAAAAATCTACCAAGAAAACTTTTGTTATCATTAGCTCGGTTTTAACTTGGGGATCTATAACGTCTGCTGAAATAGTAAGGTTTACTTGAATACAGCCATCATCATCATAGCAATAATAGTTGTTGTTATTAACATTATCACGTTCAAGTCTTTTTATAGATAGTTAAACAGTCGAATAAAATCTAATTTTCTCACTAAACTTAAGTAACTTCATATTGCTGGTGCAAATGTAAACAAAATTGATGAAATTTTGAAGAAAATTCAGTTTTTCAGTAATATAATTTTATATAACTGATAGGTTCTCCAACCTTAATCTATATTTGATGCTGATTTATTTAAAAATAAAGGGCTGGTTAAATAAAAAAATTTTATCAAAAAACAAGTACTAATCTTTTGTAAATTCTAAGTAACGGTACTAAATTGCAAATATTTATAAAATGGGAAAAAATGGATGTGAAAGGACTGATCAACAGGAACATGATTTGATTTGTTAATGGCGTTAGACAAACAGCGATAAACTGCTGATATAGAGACTATCAAAATTTTAGATTGACATTTTCTATGATACCTGACTAGTATATTGAGCACCACAAAATGTTGATCAGATAATGTTCTGGCTGACGAGTATAACGTTGATATGTATTGTTTGAGAAAGTTCGAAATAGCTCGAATGCTATGTTTCAAATAAATTTTGATAAAACTTTAAAAATGAAAATAAATCAAAAAGAGGAAGCCGGTTAATGTGATCAAATTAGAAAAGTAAGCTCTAGTTTAGAGAAATAGTTAAATCAGTAAAATAAATTTTTGTTTCAATAAATGCCAGCCGGGTTTAAATATGAGCTATGATATTTTTTATAGTGTTGTTTTTTAAATTGAAACTACAACAAAGTAAATATCTTATAAAAAATGCCACTGATATTAAAAAAAAGTAAAATTGAACCTTTGTTGTTAATCCTTGGTGAAATTATACAGCTTCATCAAAAGAATTTGAATTTATATGTACTGCGTTTCAAATTTTTATATTCATTGCTTATATTTTACTGGAATTATTCACATTTAAAAAAATTATAAAGTTTATGTGCATGAAAACAACCGTTAGACATTCCTTTGATTATGATATTCTCTTCTGTTCTGATTTTATTAATTTGGTTGATGTACCTAGGTTTAAAGATTTTAAAAACGGTCATTTGCTTCATGCTATAAATTTGGCGAAAATCAATCAATCAATAAATTTGGCGAAAAGAAGTTGAAAATTCCCGACTGCTTGCAGTTTTTGTAATGCAGGACATTATTAATTTCGACTATTATGTCTTGTATTGGTATTTTGAACTGATATTTTAAACTGGCATTTTGCATAAATATTTTGCGGTTGTTAAATTTTAAAATTCTTAAAAATATATATCCAAAATCGAATATGTACAGTATCATACACAAGGTTAAACAAATTTTAAGGATGATATCAGTCCTGTTTTTTCTGATGAAGATTTTCGCAGAAGGAGACCACATAAACATTATAGAGAACTTTACAATACTGAAAAAATGTTGCTTCAGTATGGCAGAACAGTTTGTTTTATTATGTTTTTACATTTTTAACATTGATAAATAGTCGGATGGCTTGTTTTTTTTTTAATTTTATTCAACTTTTATTATTATTTATCAAGTTGCTTATGTTTGAGCACTGCTTATATTGACAGATAGATCTGATCGACTTTTTTTAAACATTTTGTAACTTGAAATTTTAATTAATTTGTAGGATCATTAATTTATAGTGATGTTTGTTGCATTAAGATTTCAAACTAATTGCCATTGTTGCAAAAAATTGTAAATAATTATTCTAAATTATTCAATTTTGAAGTATCAAGATTCCTTTTCTAAACATCGATATTTTTTCTCAATTTTTTTAACATGGCTGCTCGATCCTCGTTGATTTTGATCGTTTATTGCTCTCCTCAGTTGTACACATTGTTTCTTTGGTCTTTATTCTTTCTAGGCGAATGATCGATATTTAATAATTGTTTATATTCATTTATAAGTATTCGGATAAAATCCGGCTTCCTACTTTTTAAAAAATTTTTTTTGAATATTCCGCTGAACAAACAGTTCTTTCCTTTTACAACGTTGGCACTCTTGAAGCCTGATTATTTTAATAACCAGTAGGGCTTCTTATAACGCTAACATTTTCTGTAACACGCGTAATTTCCGTTTCATTTTTGTTTACAATTTATTTTTTTGCTTACATAATTTAATTTGCTTACATAATTTTAATTTATCTTGATGTTTAGTCCTTAAATGTTTTAGGCTTCAAAACACTTACTTCTGGCTCATGATACTTTGTTTACTCTCTTGAAGCATCTTCAAATTAATCCACTTGTCAAATCTTAAAACTGCTTTTTTTCAATTCGAAAAATCTTGCTTTCATGTTTTTTGTTGTCTATTTATTTATTTATTGAAAAAAGCCTGAACGAACCCTTTGCCGGAAAAAGAGAAGCACGTTAATTAATAATAGATACAATGAAATTAGGAAAGGTAGATATATATAAATAATCTGACTATCGCTAAACTTCATGGATCCCGAAATCGTTATAACCGAGCAAGAAAAATTGTTTAAACATTGTGAAAATAAATCTGTAACTCTAAATTTGTCATAGTTACTAATTAAACGATAAAAATGGTCTCACATTAACTGACTTGTGATTTTTTCCTTACTTTCTATCACTGCTCCAATGTATTTATTTCAGTTTTTCAATGCTAACAATTTTTTAATTTGAAGAACATTCGTTTCTGTCGTTTTTAGGTTAATATTTTCAAATGATTTAATATTGTGAAAGAAAACAAAATTCTTGTGATATTGTAAATTCTTGTAATTAAGATATTAATTTCTTATATGCATGTTTTTTATATAAAGAATTTTAGATTTTTCTTGGCCTAATTATAGTCGTTATTTGTATTTCTAATTTACAACCGATTATTTTAACCAATAAATAACATTTTTGATTTGATTTAAAAAATCTAATAAATTATACACTTATTTTACTGTTATCTTGTAAATAAAATTATATAGTTTATTCATCTAGGTCGTTCATCTTAACTTCAATTTTGTAAAATTACTGAATTTTTTTTATATGTTCGATTTTAAGATAATGATATAAAAGTCAAAAGACTTTTGTTATTTTTCGTAGAAAAAATCTCTTAATGCTTACATCGTTGCACCTGGGCTAATTTATGGAGATAAAGAAGATGTTTTTCATTATCTTTTCAAAGTGATAATATTACTTATCTATTATAATCATTATTGTTATTATCAAGTTTGCTGGTGCCGTATTTTATGCTAATTTTTGAAATCAAAAAAGTGTTAAAAGTGTTGGCTGTAAAAGAAAAGATTATATCAGATGAAACATCAAATAAAAGAGAGTTGCATCAACTCTCAATTAGGTATCAACAAGTATAGTAGGGCGAATGTGGCGTATAAATTTAATTACGTTTGGAATGAGAAAGGCGTTAAGAAGTGAGTAAGTGGTGTAGGAAGGGATGATTTAGCAACGGTCACATTCAACTCAATGGTAGAGAACATTTTGCCAGGGGCTGTTTTGTACCAGAAAATATCGTCTCAGACTTTTATGGAATTAATTGGAGGAAGTTATCTAAATGCCACGTTTTTAGTGAAAGGGTACCGGCTTTGAAGTTGTTGAATGGCAATATTTTAATGACAGATTTAGATAGTATAAAAACTACACAAGATACTAAGATATTAATTAATAAAACGGGATATCCAAAGATCATCTGAAGTTATTGGAAATGTTCTTTTTAAAAAGGGCCAGAGGGAAGCAGTACGCAAAAATGAAGGACGATAAAAGATAGAATTAATCGATGACCGGAGACTGTGCTTCTGGTTATTGCTCTTGAATAATGATAATTATAATGTTATATAATCGCAGTGAATAGTTAGTTCTTATGACTTTATGGCTTGTGACCGATCATCAGTTGAGTTTTAACCACTGGCGTATCGAGGAGGGGAGAGCGTATAGTGAAGCATTGGAGGCTTAAAATATCTCAAAAGTTATTATAAAGTTCGATCTTATAAAACACTTATTTTTTAAAATCAGTTATTGAAAGTCGGCTGTTTAATTCATTTTAACTATAGCCTCAAAATACATGATACGATCTTGCAGCTTTAGATCTAAAATGATGAACACACATTTATATGTCGAGACGCTGCTAGCCTTTTTATTTATCCCGACTGTTTTTTACATACGTAATTACAGTTTTTGAAAATCCAAGTGAAGCTAGTCCAGATGTTTTAGGGAGATTTAAGGGGGACTACTAAGAGCACAATTATTCTGACCGCCAAAAACGAAACCACAGACGCAGACAGACAGATTTTCGGTGATACTTCTGAATGTTCGAGATCGGGTACAAAACATCGATTCGATTAAGAGGTGGCATGCGTTTCAGCTTTCTGTCGACGCCCACCATCCTAATATTTACAAGCTTATTAACTACCATTGCAAAAAATAATAGTTAAGTGAGAACAGATTTCTTTGGTAGAATGCGCAGGAGAAAAGCGAAGCTTTCAGCATGCCTACCTCTGATAACAGGCCGCTTACATAATCTCTTATATCTATTTGAGAGCTCCAATAAAACAGGAGCGTTTGTTTGAAAAGGAGCTGATTGAACGATTCACTTTTGAAACCTTTGTTTGTTTGTTCGTTCGTTTGTTTTTTTGTTTGTTGACATCGAGTCGTTACGCATGCATAAATTTTGAATTGCTCACTGGTGACTTCTTTTTTTGTGCAAATGGGGGTTGCGTTTGAGCCCAAGAGGGCGCCCAAAAAAGTTCTGGACGCAGATCATACAGGAGGACTTGAAGGCACTTGGTCTCAAGGAGGATCGGCTTGGAGACAGAAACTGATAAATGGAATAAAAAATGTCCGACCAACAACGGGTGGAGACTATAAACGAGGATTGAAATGGGGGTTGCGTACATTATTAGAAAATGTAGAGATGACGACAGGCCTTATTGACTCGAAAATCATGTACTTTCGGTAGGCCACTAGTTGTAATGAATATTAAAATTTCATTTTTTTCAATGTAATCAGTGTAAGTTAATGAATTATAATCAACAGGCTGCTTGGTTGAATCAAAAAATTATGCCACTCATTAATGATGGCGATAACTTCTTGCCTACTATTCACATCAAAGATTTGGCAAGGTAAATACTAATGTATTTTGAAGAAATATATCAGGCTATAATAGATAAATTACGCAAACAAGTTTTTATCCAAAGTTTTTTAAAATATAGTGGAATTTCGTGTAAAAGAAAATTTAGAAATTGAACTGTTGAAAAACTAACGAGGTTTATTCCAACCAAACGTTTTTTTTTATTCATTAATTAATATTCATAGTTTTGAAAAAAATAGTTACAACACAATCAAATTCAGCCAATCATGATAGATTTTTATGTAACTATTGTCACCAAGTCTGCATTTTTCAGCCTTCTTTGTGTTATAAACCCGAACCTGGGAAAAAATTTCTGTACTCCTCCTAAAAATTATGTAGAATATATATCTTGTTTTTAGCATTAAAAAAGCAAATAAAAAAATTTTTGTTTTTCTGGAAAAAAATTTAAATTTAGATTTTTTTTGTTTTTCGATTATTAAAACTTTAGCAGACCTTTAGTTTTAATTTATGTATTTTTAATTTATTCAATTTCGTTCACTAATTTAATTCATGAGAACATTTCGAAAGGCTCCCCTTGAGTTTGAAATTAACCCAACGCTGGGGAAACAATGCTTCGAGTGACTTAATTGTATTTTCAAATTTACTATTGGATGTTTTTTATATATTTTATCGATCACAAAAATTTGATCTGATTACTTCATCAGATCAAATTTTAAAATCATGCAAACATTTTCCTGATTCGTTTGTGTTTTTTTGTAATCAGAAAAATTATATGTTATTTGAATGTGTCGGTGATGATTAGGCATTTGTTGATTATTTTTATGATCAACAACGCTAGATAAATGAGAAAGAAATCGTATAGTCAATAACTGGAGTAACTGATCTCAGGATGCAATTGATGCAAAAGATTTTAATATATTTTTAAAAACTGTATAGACTCGGGTATTGGATAAATAATTTGAAGCTGTAACAGTCAGGTAACTTAGTGTAACTTTATGTAACTTGACTCAAACGCAGCATATTGTTATTATTATTATTGTTATCAGTTATAACTGTTTAGTTTATATTATTATTTTACTTATTCCATTTTTCATTGTCGATTTCCATGTACTGATTTTGGGTTTCTTGCATTCCCGTTTTATCAGCTTTCATGAGATTCCCATGGTAGCCACAGAAATTCGCAATTCTACGCATTTGCACCTAAATATTGATTAACGCTTTAATGCTTTCTCAATCACATTGACGCTGTTCGTGCACAAGTCCGGTGAGGTTTACATTTCAATCTAAATTCCTTTGAGGAATATTTTAGAGTGAATAGTAATAAATATATAAATGACTGCTAAAAAATTAAAAAACAGTCTAGTTTATGTTGCTTTTCTCATTTCCTTTTTTTTCCTGATTCCCGTGCACTGATTCTCAATTTATTAGATTTTAGTTTCCGAAATTGCCAATCCGATGCTCACTTCTGTCACGCACTTGCAGCTAAGTGTTTTTATGTTCATTTGTACGCACACGTCTTTCTATTAATTATATAATTGTAATAATTGTTTATAGATAAAAAATTAACGTAAAATTTTGCAAAAAAAACATGCACTGACGCATTGAGGGATAGCTTTTTATACCGTATTTAAAAAATTTTGTAATTTGTTTTAGAACTTTACAAAATCTGATTGAAAAGTTACCTCCAAAGAACAAATACATTCTTGCAGTTGATCAATCACAAAACACTTTAAAGTCTATTACCAAGGTGATTTTTTTGCTTACAAATTTAAAATTTTTTTTATTTCCGAAAAATATTTTAGACACAAAACAAAATTGTTTAACAACATTCTCTAAAGCGTTTAGGCTAAGGCCAGGTTGAGATGTATTCAGCTACCCATTTTGAACTTCAGAAGAATAGTAAAAACAAATGTTTATAAAAATATGGTTAAAAAATGAAATAACAAAAAAATCCAGTTTGTTTGCGATTAGAAGAAATGTAGATTAGAGGTTGCTATTGTTGGATTTTGTTAAAAAACGTAAAATTTATACAATTCTTACGAAAATTTTTGAAATTGCAAATAGAGATCTTTGAAAATTGTTACTCAAGTTAGTTTTTAAAAAAGAAAAAAAATGCTTTATATTATACACACACACACACACATGTTTGTTTGTGTGTGTGTGTGTGAATGTGCGAGAGAAAAAGATAATGAAATAGAGTTAGTGTTTGACTGATTATGATTAATTGAATACGTTAAGTCGAACGGTGACTGTGGAAAATTTTAAAATCTTGAGAATCTAGCGCAAGTAATGTAACATTCAACTTGATGCGAACCAAAATGCTTTAAAAATAAAATTTATTAAAACAGCTCCTGCTTAATCAAAACATGAATTAATTTTTATGGTGATGGCTCTAACTTTTTAATTAACATTTTGCGATATAGATCTTTTTTCATTAAGGGTTTCTATAACTATTCTCTTAAATTGCAGATAAATTTTAATTTGATATCCTTGACAAAAAAACTACTTATCCGTTTACTCCTTTACTCACACGAACACATATTACATGAACATCAGTGCAACATTTAAGATAATTTGTTTCTAGCAAGGTCAATATTTTCATTGACTGTTAAGAATTAGCAATGTTTCATGTATTTGTGTTTCATATTTATGCATGACTTGGCTGCCGATATTTTCATTGATACCACGGTTTTTCACAAAAATTCAACCAGGATTTTCCGTTATCACTAAACAGAAAAGTTGTTGAAGGTAATTTAATTTCAGACATGTTAGATAGTTAACTAAGAAGACTAAGGCTTGCTCGCTTTTTTCGATGTTGGCGTGGCGTTTGATCGTACATTATAACATTGTTAAAACGACGTTAAATTTTAGAAAACATTCGTTAGTTTTTTAGTTAAAGTACCAGATAAAAATTTATTTCATTTTTAAATGAATGTGAGCTAAAACATTTATTCATATTTATTTATGTTTTTTGATAATTTTATTTTCTGTTTATATGTTGAAAAAATTTATCCCAAATTATTTTATACCATTAAGTCGGTGAATCAAGCTATGGGGTCGGGTGCAATTCAGTCGTACAAACCTGAGGAGGCCATTCAGTTTGAGGACTTAAATGTTGGCTTAGTTAATTATGTTTTTTATATAATTTGAAAAAATTTTGAAGATTAATAATAATTTGTTTCTTTTGTTAACATTTAATTTTTTAATGCTTTTCGTCTGCAATTGTATTTAATTATGCACAATCGAATTGCAGTTTCTAATTTAATAACTTAGTTGATTAATTATTTCAATTTTAATATGCTTTCATGGTCATTTTTGTCCCTAGTGTTTTTTATGGCAAAGAAATTTACTTTTATAATTTTTATTTTGGTCTGAAATCTGCGTTTTTATGTAATTCCTTTTATTTCTAGAGCTATTATTTAGTAACTTTGATGGTGTTTAACATCTTCAGACAACATTTGTTGACATGCTAACTTTGGATTTGAGATTATCAGCTTCCGTTTTCAACGAGCAACTTAAATTTAAATGGGCGAATTCTAATGGAATGGTTGAAAATATGCCACAACTTATTGAAGAATTCAAAAGTGAACGTGGACTAAAGGTAGCTTTTTCTTTTCCACTATGGTAAAATTAGATTTATAATGCGCCATCTGTCATTTTTTTGCCGATGTTCGAGGCTATTTTTTATTGTAGTTTCTTTAAAATATAAAAGTTTCAAAATTAAATGATTCTGTAGTTTTACAAATTTCAATACATTGTTGTGGTGAAGATGCATAACCCATATCTATATCGGCATTCTTCTGTCTCAAAAGACGATGGTGAAACTACAACCAATAGTGGATCCTGCACCGTCGAGAATAGCTTGGCAGAACAATTCTGGAATGAAAACTCAACCACATCTAGCACAAATAAAGGCCGTCAACTTCTGCAGTTGATTTTGACGCTGTTTCCGCCTGGATTTTTTAGAACATCATTACAGTTTCGCTTCATCTCCACAAGCAAGCACCCTGCTTGACCGATATCCTGCAGACCGCGCGATTATCTGCTAAGCTATTCCAAGATCTTAAATCAATGGAGCAGTTTTTTATGTCTCTTTTATAAATGTCATGAAACCGAAGTCTTGGATGCTCTGTTGTTTTACTTTCTTCGACCAGCTCACCGTGCATGAAATCTCTGGGAATACGACCATTATCCATTTTCCAAACATGTTCGAACCATCTTAGACGCCCTTCAGTGAGAACCGCATACAAACTGTTCATGCCTTTTGCTTCAGCACCTCGGTGTCCGGCACTTTGTCTTATCATCTGATTCCCAGAAGTCGACGCAAGCATCTCTTATAGAAGCCGTTGAGTTTTTTCTCAAGTCTCATACAGGCGGTCATTGTAACGCAACCATATAGAAGAGTGCTAAGCACGCAGGCCTGCTAGACACATAATCTAGTTTTCACGGTTCCATGTTCCCTGATTTAGACTAAAAATTATTGTGGCCACCCAGGTGATCCTGCTTTTGACCTCAAAATCTGCAAACAGAGATCCTGAAATGCTGCACCTAAAGAAGGTAGAGTTCTCAGCAACCTCCAGTGTATGTTCATCAATGGTGATTTTGGGAAGGGTCTGCACGCCAATAGCTACACTGGTGTCCATCTTCAGTGTGCAACACTAAAGCAGCGTCATCAGCAAAAATCATTTCACGAATGAACACTTTGGTGAATTTGGTTTTGGCACGTAAACGGGCCAAGTTGTAGAGTCTTTTTGAAATGTTAAAGTCTCACCCTCTAGAAAGTTTCTATGTTTTTAAAGGGTCATCACATATTTTTTCAGATCGATTAAATAGATTTGAGATCTCTCTCAAAGGCTTAATTATATCTTCCATATCGTGATACACTGCGTTAATTTTCGGCGACCATTTTACCGTAAGAAAACTGCTTTAAGTGGTTATTTTAATGTTTTCATGTTGAATAAAAGATAACTCAAGTACATTTTTGTATAAATAATTTTATTATATATGGACCAAACATCACAAACTACAAAAATTCTTACATAATTACATATTGACCAATTCAGTCCGATTACTTCACAAATTCCTTACGGTGTTTCTCGACTACCTGTAACAAAAATCTTTTGTAGATTTATTAAATTCTTGAATTCATGATACACCTCTTTCAGCACAATCATTTACACAACATAGGTTCTTTAAGAAATATAAGACTCGGTTTTCGGCTAATTTATAACATGTACCTACTTCTAGAAAGCTGTCATCGATATCTGCTATCTGAAAGAAAGAGCGTGATATAGCCAGGTCAGAAATATTTTGTGGAAGTATTATAGATGTGATCAGATGAGATCCTCTTATTTATCATGGTCTTCAGCAGTTCGGATTTTGCTCGACTGACAAATGGCTTGAGAAAAGAATAAGAGTTGCTAGTCCCGGATGAGTGTTTTTTCATCATATTGATACCAACGGCATATAACTTTGCAACATCGTACTGATTCAATCTTTGTTTTAATAAAATATCGTTGTATGGAGCATCAGAAGTTAATCGACTTGTAAACCACGGTTGAATATACATACACTTGTATTACAAAGCGGTTTAATCGTTTTAATCCTTGCAGTTCACGCATTGTCAATGGAAATACTGTATCATTGCCATTAAATAAAAGCTCAATCTTAAATTAGTACACAGCTTTTACCATCCACCAGGCTCTATGAAGGGCCCCAAATTTGTGAGTTGAATATTTGATATCTAACCCGACTATTAATCCTGCAAAAATAAGAAATTCTTTGCAGTCTTCTCTGGTGTGTTTTATATCTAGTTGCTGAGAAATAAAGGTTTTTAAACTCTTTCACTGGTACCTACTGAAGGAGTTGGTGTCATGAGGAATATGATATGATAGTTAAGATCAAGCTACTTTTTTTCTGAAATGCTTTAAAATCTGTATATCTGAGCCAGTAGGTGGTCCAAAGTATTTGGACCACCTACTGCCAATACGTCTGCCAACAAAATTTCGAACATATGGTGGCGACAAGCCATCCATAATAATTTCTTTCCCAAGTTCTTTTCTGTTGTAGAATACGTCCAGTCTTTCACATAAGGATATTATCAAGGAAGCATCTAAAGCTTTGTGGGACCCTTAAACCTTGTCCAAATGATATGAAATTGCACAGTTTAATTTAATTTGCCACATCGAAACTTTTAAGAGGGTGAGACTTGACTATTTTAAACTTTCATTTTTTTTTAGGATACTCTAATGTACACATTTTCACTATAATTTCTGAAAGCGTGTTAAAGAAACATAGAGAAGAAGATACCAAAAATGTTGGGCCCGAGGACACAACTTTGCTTCATTCCAGTCACAACCGGGAAGATCGGATGTTTCACCATTGTGATAGACTGATCTACGCATGTTATCGTGGAAGTACATGATCACTGCAAGCAGTCGCGAAGGACAGCCAACTATTTGCAACAAACTAACAGTCCGCTTTGACTGACTAAATCAAAGGTCTTTGTCAGGTCAATGAAGGCAATGTAGAGCGGCATCTGCCTTTTCCGACACTTCTCCTGCAAGTACCGCAGCTAGAAGATCATGTCAACCGTCGATCTGCCAGCCCTAAAGCCGCATTAGTATTCCGGATAAAAGCGAGAAGCAAGAAGCTGTAGGTGGACAAGAATAACACAAGCAAACACATTAACAAAAACGCTATAGAGAAAGATTTCCCGATAGCTGTCGCATTAATCGCGGTCGCCTTTGTTTTTGACAACGTGATGATGTTGGAATTTCAATCTTGAGGGATGTGATCTTGCTCTCAGCAAGACAGAGCAACCCAGGCATTGGCTGCGGCAGAGCTTCTCTCAGATTTTTTAAGATCTTCCCTGGCACTTTTTTACAGGTTAGGCGGTCAATGGCTTTGGTGAGCTCTTCAGTAAGCAAGTTGTCCAACTCGACTATGGTAGGTAACTCTAAGATGGAGTAGAGAACGGTGTCAGTCACGATATTAGTCACCGCGTACTGCTTAAGAAAGTGTTTCCTTCACCGCTGCATTTGCATAGTACGATCTGTTATAATCACACCAGTTTTTGTCTTGATTGAATCCACTGTATCATTCATCATCACAACTTCCAAATCTCTGATGAACTGCTGGGTTTTTCGGGATTGTTGAAACAACTAGTATTAATGCGTGGGCACCCATTCCTTTTGGAAGTTTTCTAATGTAAACAGACACATAAAACAAAAACTGAATTGAATACTAATGATGCAATTATTAACTTTGTTATTATAGCATGTTTTTCATTAAAAACTTTATTTGATTGAAAAGCCACTGAAGATGGTGATCATAGGACCGCCAGGTGTGGGTAAGACAAGTATTGCCAAGCGATTACAAGATTCACTTAAATTGCATCTCATTTCAATTGAAGATATCAAAGACAAGTTGTTGCATGATTTGGTTAGAAATTTTATAAATGAAACATTTTTTGAATATATGCTAAAAGGTATTTTTTACTTTCATACACTATTTCTAATATATTAGAAACTGATGCTAGTGCATATTTATTATTTTCAAAAAATTTTAATAACAATAATAGTATATGTCAATTCTCCAGCACCCTAAGCATAGCGTCAGAGGCGCTTAGGATAATTTAATAACGGTATCACGTCAGATTATCTGAAGAAACAAATAATTTTTTAAATGTTTTTTGAAGAGATGTTGGTTGCTGTCGAATGAATGATGGTAGGCTTTTGCATAATGAAGTAAGGAGCATTGAAAGACAAACTACGATTAACAAAATCGGATTTGTTAACGGGTTGAATTTAGTTAGTTAGTTATTGAATTTGATCGAAGATGATGACTAGAATGATGTCTAACATTTTGGGGAAGAGAGTATAAAGATAAGGTGGTTGGTGCTTATTTAGTGATTGATAGATGATATTTAAATGTATTACGCCGATGTTATTGATAAGGCAATTTAAGTTGGAAGTGTAATATGGAGCATCAAAAACTAATTTTGCAAGTTACTTTTGAACACGTTGGAGGTAAGAAATGAGTTTGTGGGATGTACCAAAAAACAAAGTTACAATAATCAAAATGAGAGAAAACAAGAAAGCGAGCTAACGTAGGAGCCAAATCAAAAAATGAAAAAGAGGACTATAAGAAGACGCACAAAAAGAACGAAGATAATGGAGAGAATTCGATTTGTAATATTCCAACAAAGATTATCGATATCATTCAGAAGTCCACCCTGTCTACATTTATATCACCCTCTCCAGCTGATTCATATTACATCTCTCTGTGTCTTCGATTTTCTACCTTTAAATGTCTTTATTCAATATCTTTTTTCAAAATTCATAACACGATCATGTTTCAATACGAACTTCATACAACCAGTCAACTCTCAACTTTCTAGTAACTTTTTTAGTAAGTTAATCTTATGTGTACCCTCCACATAATTTGAGATCACCTCACTTTGTTTTTACAGTTTTTTTAAATTTTCTGCTGAAACTGGTTACTGAGAATTTTTCATTTCTGTACTAATTCGCTAATCAAATATAATTGGATTATTTATGAAAAAATAATAGCAATTTAAAAAAACAAGTGAGAATTTCGCGACAATATTGTTATTAAAAAGATGAAGATGTTAGTTTTCATCATTAAAACATTTATGGAATGAATAATATTTTATGTTTTCTATAACCAGAATTTGATAATTGTTTTGAACGGTTTGATCATTTCTCGATTATATTTTCAGGTTGACAATCGATAATTGTATTTATCATTTAACAAAGGATCAAAGAAAATTGAAAACCCAAGGTGTTGGCAAAATGGAAGAAAAAAAATCCGCAACCAATGATTTTAATGCTGAAGTTGATGAAGATGATCAGGAAGAAGAAGTGGAAGGTATTTCAAATTTTTATTACGAGTTTAATTTTATTTTTAACAATACTCAGTGTATCAAAGAAACCTCGTACCTAGCAAACAAATACGCGCACACTTATGAATAAATGTGTCGACGGAGTGACTCCTCGTAAGCAAAGAAGTCAATCTTGGTTTCATGCCGGTTTGGACAGTACTGACAAATCCACACTTTTGCAACACCAAGGTTTTAAAATTCGCGTTCGCGCCGCTTTTTTTCGGCAAGGGCCATGTTTTAGGAATCTTGAGTCCAGCATGCGAATGTTTTGACCCGTTCAACAACACTTTGCACGTAGAATGAAAGCAACAATACCAATGATATCATATCTTTTCAGCACTTTCAGTGTTATGTACCCTATTTTCCATTTGGTGCGTGAAATCTCGTGGAGGCTTTTCATATGAAGTATGAACAGTGAAAGCCTCTTTTAAATTTTTTGGCATTGATTGGTTCTTCCATATGTCATTATAAACCGGGACAAGTCTACCGATTAGTCCAGATCCACTATTTATCCAATTATTAAAATTTCAACTGGCTGCCCATCGAAACTTAATGCTTTACCTTATGCCAATTTCAATTGCTTTTCAATTTCTTTTAGGCTGGCTGGGTTACAGAGACCATTTTCGGAGCTCCAACTTGGTAACTCTGAGAGCTCTGAGTAGTTAAAAAATTATTTTTAATAAGCACTTCACGGATGGGCTCGGCTTGCGAGCGCGTATTCCTGAGCCATTTCTAATGAGCGTCAAACCATCACTCGATTACACCAGCTTGTGGATCATAAATTGTTTTCAATTTCTGATTAAAATATTTTAAATTGTTTTGATCTGCGACTTTTTGGTATATATGCGCCCTTCCCGTCCACCAGGACTTTTTCATTTGACGATGCTTTATCTACTACAAAACCTTGTGAGTTACCATGCTCTTTTAATGCGGTTGGTTTTGCCATAAATCCAAGCAAGATGTGCTGCGTACATTACGACTAGCAATCCACGAGCTCCCTTGAAAATCTTAGCTGTCAATCTGCTCCTTTGTCTTTTTCGTCAATTTCGTCTTTTTCGTCTTGCGATGATCCAAGCGTGGACGCGTAACAGCTTATCAGCGTAGCTACATTACCGTTGACGAGGTTCAGTTGTGGTTTTATGAAACGAAAGGATATACCACACGGGGCTTCACGGACAGCCCCATGAATAGACCTACTGACGACAAAATCAACTAATTCTTGCGCTCTTGCCTTACCAACGGAATGACCCTGGCAGAAAATGGTATAACTCGCACCTCTTTCTCTACAAAGAACAGATTCAGAGATTCTGGTTTCACTTAGCCCAACAACGACAATATAACAACGCGCAAGTTTTGACATGTTTTGACTGAAATTTGAATATTCAGTCAGGCACGGCGGACTAACAAAATGGGTTAGGGCCAAAACATTTTTTTATAGTCTCCTCTCCATTCGGAGGAAGCAGTATAGTCATTGACTAGGGCTGCTTTATCGTCTGGCAGGATGCGGACACTGACCTGGCCTCGGGTGGGCAGGGGACAACCATCTTACCTATACCGTCTTTGGGCTGGCTTGGGGCTAAACACTTTCAGTAATATGTTTTACATGTGTTCGTCGTCACCCCCCAATCGCCCAAGGGCTTGAACTTGGTGACCTGCGAGTACGCCATATCTCACAACGACCAAAAGTGCATTTTTGTGGACGCCTAACTTGTTTGTTGCCCGAGTTAGGCAACAAAACCTATTAAAACCTTCACAAACCTTTATTATTTCTACTAAAACATGGAAAACCTAGTTAAATCCTAATTAACCGTAATTAAAACTACTAAAACCCTGTTGAACTCTAATTAATTTACTACTACTTATCCTAATAAACACTACTAACGCCTTCTTAAATTCTAATTAACCCTGCTAATACATAGAAATAACGTTTAAGAATAGCATGAAATATGAAACGAAACGAAACGAAACAAAGCGTGTATCCCTTTTTGGGATTATGGGATGTGTATTCTGGTGTATCGTTGTTATATATGTTTGTATATTTATGCATTTATGATTTTGCAATTTTATTTGATACAATTTTTTTCGGACCAAACTGTAAGAAAATTTTCTTGCAGACGTTTTTAGGTGTGAGTTCGCGCTTACTTTACTTTACCCATTCATTATGTTTGCTGAACCGAGAACCGATTTTAATTAAACGTTAGATTCTCTATTTATTACAAAAATGTAATAAGTTTAATACTATCTTTCTTTGAAATGACAAAAAAAATTATTTAATAAGATCACGAAGAAAAAGAAGAATATGAAACATTTTTAGACTCCGTGGAAGAAATCCTTTTAGAAAATGAAGGGAAGTTTGATAATAATACTTTAATAACGTGTCTCAAGAAAGTTCTGTTGTCGAAGCCTTTTCAAAATCAAGGATTTATCATTGATGGTTATCCTACAACAGCTGAGCAAGTAACTCTTCTATTTGGAAGTAAATTATAAATTTTTTATTTTTCTTTTTCTTGATTTAATATTCGGGTCTTTTTAATAAGTTAATATTTTGACATGAAATTTTTAAACTTATTATTTTACATCGTATCTTTACGCTTATTAAAAATCAATATTATTTAGGAAGAATTATGTATGATTAATGGCATGCCACTTTTATTTATTTATTTCCTTACCATTTTACTATTGTTTTGCATGCTGTTACAGTTTCTGCGTCACTCAGATCCTGATTTTTTTTTAAATAATAAAAAAAATAATAATATTCTATTTCACTAATTAATGTTTCTATGTTCATGATGTATCTGTTATAGCTGATTTGATTATTTTTCATGTTTTTTTGTCAAATCTTGTTTATTGTTTGGTTTTACATAAATCTGGAAAAATAAAATACCAGATGATCAATAAAAAAAGTCGTTAAGATTTATATAGAGAAAATGACACTGTTTGTTAAATTGTTATAAAAAATTGTTTTACATTTATTTTTTTTTATTAATTTAAAAGTTTTAAAAAGCTTACTTCAGTTGGAGGTTGTACGAGCAAAAGTATGAAACGTTGATATTTCTTATTTATCAGCAGCATCTGCTGCTGCTGCTGTTGTTGTTCTAATCGTCGTTGTTGTTGTTGTTATTGTATTCACTCCTCAGCAAATCTCGGAGGAGGTTGTATAGGCCTTCTCTAAAAGGTTTGTCAATAGCCCTTTCCTGAAGGCATTCATTGAAGCTACCTCACCTAGTTCGATTGGCAACGAGTTTTAAATAACGGGGCCGACAATGTCAAGCTTCTTCCTTTAGTCGCCGTTCGCACTCTTGGAACTTACACCATTCTATTTGCCGCTGATCTAAGGCGAGTCCTTGACAATAAATCTTCCACCCCTTTAAAAACATTTCCAAAGTAACCTGGTGTTTTACTTCATCGACTTCTAAACGCCAACATCGTAATCTGGAATACCAGCTACCGGCAACCAATGCAGACCGCGACGGTGGGAAGTTCACTAGCTCAACTAGGGGGTGCAAATTTTTAAAAAAGCATAAATCTTTCTAGGAGTTTTAAGAAATTTAACTAAATTATTTTATAACTTTAGTTCAAATTGGTAACTCTGTAAAAGCGTTACGACAATTGAAAGAACTTTGTTTACAGGGAATTGATTGAAATCAATTGATTTTATGTTAAATATTTTGCATTAAGTTTGAAATAACCAATATTAATTAATTAAAAATAAATTAAGCGTTGGATGAAGTGAAAGAAGCTAGATCAGCGGATGTTGAACCGGCCAACAAATTGGCAGCTATCTTACCTGATTTGGTTATCAAATTGAATGCTGATGATGAATTCTTGAAACAAAGAATTAGAGATCTTCCTGCTTATGTTGTTGAAGGAACAGACAATGAAGAAAAAGCATTTACTGCAAGATTAGAAGATTATCGAAAGTTAAACACGGTAGAAAACAGCATTGAAGATTTTTTAGATGAACTAGAATTCAACTTATCTTTTTACGGTAATTTGTTTACAAATTTTTATAGAGTTAAATTTGTGCTTGTTTATGCTGTTTTTGATGAAAATAAAATTGTTTGAACCGCAGTTTTAAGGGAGCTGCTTGAAAAATTTTTGTTTTGGCAGTTAAAACCCAGAGTTGCAAAAATTTTGAAAAAAATCTTTGAATAAAAAACAAGTTACTGAAGAAAACAGTAGACGAATCATGTTTATCTAACAATTGTTTATCGAGATAATATTCAATCTCTTGTTCAAATTCAAATGTTTTAACAGGTATTATGACCAAAATAAATTTTTTGGTAATAATAATCAACGATCATTGTTTTGGAATCCAAAATAGTGATGGTTTAAACGAAAATTAACTATTCGGTTTGCGGCCTAAATATGGCCAAAGCGGAGGCCGATTATTCGGTGCGATTCGCTAATTTATTCAAAAGTATTCAGCATAAATTTTTGTCAGAAAAGTCATCAAAAGTTGACGAAAACAGATGTTTCTCACTTACGTAAGCTTGCGCAAATACATCGGCAACAATTCTTAGATGTATTGTGTTGGTGTTTTGATAAATTATTTTTGTGTTGTCAAGAATGTGGTGGGTTATTGGAGTTGCATGTATTGATTGTAAGTGAGATTTGATGGCTCCTTTGTGTGTGCATTGTGAGACATCTTGATAGTGAAGTGGTCGTAACACCACAAAATCTAAATAAGGCCTATCTGCACGATGAATTTGGATAACAACAGTTTCATTAAATTTTCATGATGAACTTGGATAATAATTCTATTTTTAACAAATTTAACAATTACCAGAGAAAATTGAAAAGACAAACTTTAAATTGATTAATGCCAACAATTTGGTAGAATTCATACAATACTGTACGAAATATAGTCTCCTTCCAATATTTAAATATTGTAATAGTAATTTATAAAATCTACCGAATTTCTAGCGTTTGATAGTTTTTTGTTATATTTATATTTCTCAATATTTCTAACCAAATTCATGTCATTATTTATTTTATTAAAATTAGAATAATATACAGTTTTCCAATTCATTCTTATAGGACCTATTTCGAATTTTCAATCATCCTCAGGGAATTTGTATAATCAAGGCCTTCGTTCCTGTGATTAGCATATATTTTTATCAGTGACTGTGTTAATTTTACTGTCTTCTTTATTATTGCTATGATTTCTTTGTTTGAGCTAATTGCTTTGATGTTATGTTTTATTGTGCTAATTTTATTGGTATCATTTACTTGCTCTTTGATAGCACTTTGGTCGATACTACTTTTTTCAGTGTCCTCATTGGTCTCACTGGTGTTGTTAACATAATTTATTATTGTTCTTCTTTTCGGAAGTATTGTTGAAATCTTTTTAGTTTGTTTATCATCAGGGATTGTTTTTTGTCGATGATAATGGCTTCGGCTAATTTAAGATGGGAATGGCTGGAATTGCAGTATATTATTTTGGTGTTGTTGTCCAGGATATCTCTTGTAGTTTCAATATTATGTTTGTGTTCTAGGTGTGTTTTTGTAGAACCTTCCCTTTTGTGCATGGTCAGTCGTCTAGTTAGCGATGTTGTAGTTACTCCGATATATGAAACATTCTGACGTGCACAGCCATCAAGGGGACATGTAAATTCGTATGTCAGATAGCTACGCTTTAAAGTCGAACCAATTTGAGGAGTGCAGTTATTGATCATGACCAGGTTTGATGTTTTTGCATTTCTATAATAAATTCGTAGTTTTTTTGTCGAAAGGTTACTAGGTTTGACATTTTTATAAATGATCTGTTTTAAGACGGATTAGTCCGTTTGGTAGTTTAGTGTTCATATGATTCTTATTATAGAAGATGATGTCATTGTTTGGATTATTGTGTTGTGGGCTATTAAGTTGTTGTAATTTATTTTTAATTATTTTCTCGATCATTGATGTGCAGTATCCATTGTTTACCAAGAGATTTGTGATTCTTTTCAATTCTACATCACATTTTTCGGTTGATGATGAATGAAGGTGCGGTTGATGAATGCTCTTGTTATACTGATTTTAAATTGTTCAGTGGATTCGCTTTTTCCATTGAGGCAAATGCCTTTATTTGTAGTTATTACATAGATAGCAGTTTCAAATCAATATTCATTGCGGATGATGAGAACATCAAGAAAGGTAAGTATTTATCGTTCTTATGCTCAATGGTGAATTTCACTTTGGATTTGTTGAAAACAGAAAACTGATGGATGGAATAAAAAAGTCCGACCCATAACGGATGGAGACTATAAACGAGGATTGATTGATTGATTTGTTGAAAACAGATTCATTGACTTTGTTAGGATCTTCATATGAGATAAAGATGTCATCGACATATCTTGCATCGTGTTCTCCAGCCAGAATTTATCAACATTTTTCAGCTTTTGCTGAAACTAATATTTTAAACGGTGAGTATTCAAAAAATTTGTAAATTTAAAGTTAAACTAATATTCAGGCGTGTAACAAAAAATATAATTATCATGTTGTCAAGTTAGGAAAAAACAAAATGTCCTTTATAACTGTCTTTTGCATTCTTCTTAGGATCCAATACTGCCGATCAGTTGTCACCTGAAGTTGCAGCTACTGTTAATTGTTATGTTATAACAAAAATATGTTTGGACATTATAGAGTTTTGAAATATATTATGCATTTGTAGATTTGTTATTTATGCATTTTATTTGTTGTAGAATTTAGCTGATAGTAAATAGTTTGAACGTTGATAATTTTTTTGATTAATGACAGATGTTACCAAAGATTTGACCGGAGTAAACGAAGATATATTAAGTCAAATTAAATTCAGTATTGGAGGATCAAGAACATATGGTGTTGTATTTTATATATCATCTACATTTAATTTTTAGAATTAACTTTGTTTAATTAGTTTATAAATAATTTTAATTACGTTAAATACATGTTTATTACTTTAATATATATTTGTTATTTATCTTTTTAACGGTATTTATATTTAAAAATTTTTATAACAATTTTCGGCAACCGATTTACATTTAGCAGCTAATCAAGGCAGACATTTTCAAAGAAGAGCAATTTATATTTCAAGTAGAATGGTTCTATGTACGTTCCCAACTAAGTTACACTTTATGTCAAGCATCTCTTTCACATACAACTGCTGTTTGGTCAGACTTAGCGGTGCTACCCTTGACCCTTATCACTTAATCCAGATTTTATTTACCACAGTTACTCTCGAATAAGCGTGATTCTTATTAAACTAATAGCTCTGGTAGCTGTTAAAACTTTGGTATCGATTTTTCATGTGATAATCGTCATGAGAAGTCGGGTGTCTAACAGACAAATTGGAAATCTCTTGTAACTAGGATCGGGTGCAGTTTTGATAGAACGTATTCAAGTTATTTTGTAGCTAGAATCAAATATAGTGTGTTGTCCATGTTGCGACATAAAGTAAAATGGGTCAAATTTTTATTTGTTTATTCATGCCGTAACATATTATGATTCATAGTAACATCATACTATAACTTATAGGAATATAATTTTTAGGGCCATCTAAAGAAGAATTGGAATTATTGAGGATAGCTGCTCTTGAAGCCCAGCAAAAAGCAGAAATTGAACAGAAAGAAGAGGAAGAAAGACTGTTAGCTGATGAGGAAAGTGCAAAAAATGAAAAAAAACTGCAATGGGTGAAATTTTTTCAATTTTCAATCTGTATTTCTGATTTATATTCATTGATATGACCATTTTCTGATTCAAAATTTGATAAAATATCATAAAACAATTTTGTTGGAATCGCTGCTTCACCTTCAAATCAACTAAACTACAATATGAGCATAATAAATATTTTACATCAATAATGTCCGTATTATAACTTCATACTTGGTAAAACCTATTCAATTTTGTCTAATGAAGTCCAACAAATATGAGTTAGTGTAGTTCATTATTTTAAGAAGTATTTAGCAATTATTTTTAACTACTTTCAGTTTCATTAGTTAGTTTTTGTGCTTATTTTTTGTCGCGCAGTTGACAAATGCTGAGCTTAAATGCTCTTCATATTGGGGTATACGTCTTCAGGAACATCCCCTGAAAGTTATTAAAAAGTCATTGAAAGATGACTTGTCGTGCGTTTCAATAAGTGGTTACCAGTACGGCTTCATGGCAGGGAGATTCACCATGATGCTATCTATATCCTTCGTCAACTACAGGAAAAATACATGGCAAAGCAAAAGCGACTGTTCCATGTCTTTGTGAACTTGGAAAAAGCTTTTGACAAAGCTCCTCATGAGGCAATTAGGTGGTGGCTACGTAGACAGCTTGTTCCAAAATATCTGGGTCGGCTGGTTATGGCAACGTGGTTGTGCTGACCAGCCATACAACGTACCACGTACAACCAACGTACAACGTATGGCTGTTCAGCACAACAGCCAGTAACACGAATGAATTTGATATTAACGTCGGCGTCCATCAGGGATCAATACTCAGCCCCCAACTTTTCATCACGGTGATGGAAGAAATAACCAAACCGATACGCTCAGATAACATATGGAATGTGATATATGCAGATGATATCGTCCTGACGGCGGCCCCGGAACAAGACGCAGCTAGAAAGTTTGAGGTCTAGAATACCCAGCTTGCCGAACACGGGCTAAACCTTGACAAAACAAAAACTATGATCACCGGTGGTACCGCTGAGCCTATGGTCTCTGGTCATTGGCCATGTTTTGTGTGTGGGGCTGGAGTTGGAAGAAACTCGATCAAATGCCTACGATGTCAGCAGTGGCTCCACAGACGATGCTCGAGAATTACCGGCTCACTGAGGAAAGTGACTGATTTCGTATGCCCCGCCTTCATCAACCCGCGACAATGATACGATTACCGGGATCGAAACTGTTACTTCATTTCATTATTTGGGATATATGCTGGATTGAACTGGAACAGCTGATGCCGCCGTTCGTGGACGCATACGTGCGGCATGGGGCAGATGACACTTTCTTGCTTCGGTACTGATGCGGCGTAGCATTCCTCTACCGCTGCGATCAGAACTATACAACACAGCTATACGTTCTGTTCTGATGTATGGTGCAGAAACGTGGCCGATGACAACAAAACTCGAACAGCAGCTTCACCGTACTGGCATGAAGATGATTCGTTGGATGCAGCATGATGACCTGGGGGATCTATCCATACAACCGAGATCCTGAACCGATCGCCTACGATGGTTTGGCCATGTGAAGGGAAGCGAAAACGATACAATTATTTCCGTTACTGAGCACCAGGTGCCTGGCATCCGCCCAAGAGGTCGCCCAAAAAAGTCCTGGACGCAGACCATACAGGAGGACTTGAAGGCACTTGGTCTCAAGGAGACAGACGCAATGGATAGATTGGCTTGGAGAGAGAAACTGATGAATGGAATAATTAAGTCCGATCCATAACGGATGGAGACTATAAACGAGGATTGTTTTATTAAACTACTTACGCATTTTTGTAACTTATCGTATCTTAAAGTTATAATTAACATTGTAGAATTGCCGTGGTTTATTATAAATTTCCTAATTTCGAGGGCGCTTCGGTCGCTTGCATAGGCGCTTTATAAGTGACATTTATTTTTATTATTACTATTATTATTATTGCTGCTTGTTTTTAAACAAAAGAGTCGCTTTTGGGTGGCTCACCGTTTATATTAGCAATATAGGTTTTATTGACGTTTAATATATTTGCATTTTATATCAAATTGTAGGTTATTTTATAAGACTGTGTTTTTAAAATTGAGTTTTATCAAATATTTTAAATTTAATGGTTTTATTAGTTTAATTTTAATCTCATATAATACTTTAAACGTAACAATTTGTCCGCATTGCAATAAAGACTTTATGTTTTTAGACACTTCTGGATGTGTACAGCTGTTCGTTTTAACTCTAATGAAAATATTTCACCAAACAATAACGCTAACATTTTTCCGAATTTATTAACAAATAATAATAATATTTTACTTTATAATCCAAATAATCTGTTAACTTGTTGCGGCAAATCTTGCAAGGGTCGGAAAGGACTGTCAATGCATCAAAGAGTCCGTAAATTTTACAAATCTCTCTAGTACATGAAGTCCGATGTGGAACCAAACGACAGCGAGGGCAACAATCCAACAACATTCCAACACACGTCGACTCCAACAACTACTCCAAAACCATTACCTGGAATAACACTGCCCAAATCGTCATCGCATTGGGCTGAAGCCAATGCATTTTTCCATATAGAACTAAAGCGTCTACTAAAACTAAGCGATGACTGTGCGGATGTCGACAGCTTCGCTATCGGTTTTCAAAATACAATCTACTCATATTTTGCGTCCAACTGTGGTACATTAGCAAAAGATTCAAAACCTGGTGAACACAGGAATTGCGATATTCGACGCTTAAAAACAAAATTAAAAAATTTAAGACATTGGCTCAGTCAGATAGCCAACTCAACAACAACGTCGTGATGCTCAGCAAACAAATTAAGGCAACATTAAAAACAAATAGACTGAATAAAAAAAGTAACAACATTTCAACCAAACTTAAACAAAACTTCTGGAAAACATGTAACAATATTTTTAACAACTCGAACTCTCAATCGCCACTCTTCAATACCGAAACCGCCACCAACTTTTTTAAAAATCTACTCAACGCAGGCGACCGCACCACGTTTCGTCTTCCAGATTGGATTCCTCCCCATCCCGCTCCTTCATTTCAAGGAAATTTAAATCTGGCAACTCACACTGAGATCACAGCAATTGTCGGGAAAAGCAAAACGAAGGCATCTCCTTGTCCACTAGACCAAATTTCAATCATAACTCTCAAAAGATGCCCATTATTAAGAACATATCTTCACAAATTGTTTGTAATATGTTGGCGCTCTACAACAAATCCACAATGCTGGCGTAGCGGATTGACGGTCTTGATCTACAAGAAGGGTGATGCAACTAACCCATTTAATTTCCGTCCTTCAACCAGTACTCTACAAAATATTTTCAACTTTTATAAAATCAAGATTCTACAATTTTCTTGACAAAAACAACTTCAAAAGGGCTTCTACCCAACTATTGATGGACCAGCCGAACACACCCAGATGCTAACACATCTATTAGAAAATGCCAAACGTCATCAACATACTATTGTTGTTGCATTACTAGATTTGAGAAATTCCTTTGGAGAGGTAAACCATCATCTCAGTACTTCTATCTTAAAACATCATCATGTTCCACAATTAGTCCAAAATCTAATAACATCAATATATTCCAGCTATTCTATATCAGTATCTGTTAATGGTGAATTGACGCAAACAATACCGGTTAGTAAAGTTGTGCTCCAAGGAGACCCATGTTCACCGCTGCTTTTTAATATTTGTTTTAATCCTCTCATGAAAATCTTGGACAACAATGAGTATAAACAATATGGCTATTTCTGGGGCCCAACTTCCGACATAAATACTAGATCATGGCTCCAATCATAGCACACAGCACTGATGGAGCAAAAAAACTGATCGATTTAAATAAAGTTTGGTGTAGCTGGTCAGAAATGAAAATGGGAGTTGATAAATGTTGTTCTTTTGGAATGAGGAAGAAGGATGGAACCTATGATCAGTTTTTGCCACGACTAACGATTGATGACGTACAAATCCCTAACGTAGAGATAGGCCAATCTTTTACATATCTAGGCAAGTTATACGATTATGAATGCAAAGACTCCCAAAGCAAAAGGCAAGTTAAAGTCAAAAGTCTGTTGGAAGAGATTTCAAAGTTAAATGTGGGCCACAGTAAAAGCTACAAATTCTAAGAAGATTTGTTCCCTCACAGCTGAATTTTGAAGTTTGCAGCTACAGCTTCTCGTTGATTTAGATAGCGAAAACCTCGATAATCTAATTGTTGAAGCTGTCCGAAATTAGCCAGATATGCCAATTAGCGGCTGTGTAGCAGAACTTACTTCGCTGCCAGCAAAGATTGTAGGCCATTACATTATGTCGCAAAAAGATGCCACAGAAAGAGCGAGATTAAAGCTGCGCAACTATTTCAAAACTAGTCAGAACAAAGAAATTCAATGCTTATACAAAGAATCGACAAACGATTATATCAAAATCGACAACACTTTCTCAAAATCAGGTTCTTTAAAATTATAGCTCAAACAATTAGAATAAGGAAGAATTGAATCGTGTTTCAACCATGTCATTTCACTGGAAAGTCAGGGCATAATTATCTCCAAAATAAAAACCGTCATCAAAGCTAACAATATTTCTCGTTGGTCAAAAACTACGAAGAATCTTGCTGGAGCCCTCTTCAAATTTGCTAGGAAATATTTAGTGTAGCAACTGCCGACAAACGCTAAGTTGTTTAGATTGGGCAAAACACCAAGCCCTCTATGTCCTCTCTGTGGCTCTCGGTAGACAAATAAGCATGTGGTTTCTAACTGTAGTTCCACCTCCGCTCTAGCAAAATACACTAGAAGACACAACATTATTTTAGCCGCGATCACCAACCGGTTGAATGTATGTGCGCCTGCCAATTGTCGGTTATTTGCACCAGATTTGAAATTTGACGGTATTCAGCCTATATCTTATCTGTTCAACACCCTACGTCCCGACATACCCTTACCCAAAATGTCGACTGTGTCGCCCTTACAGGGCGACACAGTCGACATTTTGGAGTTAACGG